TGGTCCTTCTATTCACTAGACTAGCAATGCCCAGTTCCTGCAACTGTTCATCGTATGTTTTAGTCTACAGTCTCCTCATCATCCTGGTCGCTCTCCTCTGCACTTTTTCCAGAGTCTCAACATCTTTTTTATAGTGTGGTGACCAAAATTGGATGCAGTACTCTAGGTGTGGTCTTACTAGGGCTTCCTGCCTGGACTACTGTAATGCTCTCTACATGGGGCTCCCCTTGAGAAGCACCCGGAGGCTCCAACTGGTCCAGAATGCAGCCGTGCGGGTGGTTACGGGAGCGACGTGGCGCTCCCATGTGACTCCCCTCCTGCGCGAGCTGCACTGGCTCCTGGTGGTCTTCCGGGTGCGCTTCAAGGTTCTGGTTACCACCTTTAGAGCGCTCCATGGCTTAGGACCGGGGTACCTACGAGACTGCCTTCTGCCACCAGTAGCCTCTCACCGACCAGTACGCTCCCATAGAGAGGGTCTTCTCAGAGTGCCGTCGGTCAAACAATGTCGACTGGCGGCCCCCAGGGGGAGAGCCTTCTCTGTGGGGGCACCTGCCATCTGGAACGAGCTCCCCCCGGAGATATGGAGGATCCCGGATTTGCGCACTTTCCGCCGCGCCCTCAAAACATTCTTATTCCAGCAGGCTGGTCTGGCCTAACCTCCCTTTTAAATTGCTTTTAAATTTGCTTTATAAATTGGGGTGTTTTAAATCGGGCCAAAGTATTTAATGTATTTTAAATGGTTTTTAACGTTTGCATTATGTGTATTTTACCTTTTTGGCTGTTCACCACCCTGAGTCCTTCGGGAGTAGGGCGGTATATAAATTTAATTATAAATAAATAAAAATAAATAGAGTGGTATTAGTACCACTCTATAAAGTTCATTATTTAACATCTTACTCATGAAAGCCAGCTTGGGGGACTTAGGACCAACCACCAGGAGATGGTGAGTTCTAGTCCCACCTTAGATGTGAAAGCCAGCTGGGTGACTTCTAGCCAGTCCCTCTCTCTTCCTCTCTCTCCCTCTCCCTCCCTCCCTTTCTCTCTCTCTCTCTCTCAGTTGTACAAAGTTAGCACCCACCCCTCCTAGAAGAACGAAATATGATAGGAAATATTAAAAAGGCAGAATATTATATTTCCCCTAAAAGAGAAATAGATATCTTAAGGGAGACAGAAGCTCAGAGCCACAGTTCCCTGCCCCCAAGCAGATATTAAGCTGAGGCCAGCTTTCAGAAATGCAAGTGCAGATTTGGTAATCCATTCCAGACAGGATATTTTGAACAGAGGCAGAATTAGGTAGAATGATGGGATCAGCCCTCACTCAAGATCCAAACCAGGAAAGCCATTAAGACATAATAGGAATGGCCCAACACCCTTTCAGGACACAAGCCTCCTCATTACATCATCTCAGAGAGTCCAGGTTTCAATCAAACTTAACTCAGACAACCTAAAAAGTTAGCTATGACCCCTAAAACAACCAATAGGATGCATGCTCTTGCCACAGGAACAGGAAGCTCAAGTTCAAAACCCAACAGAGGGTGTAAATAATCCTCACTCTCCACTCCATGTAGTCAGCTACCCAGAATCACACATGCTTGGTGGTTCTACTTCACCATTAAAGCATCTTTCCAATCAGCCTCCATGTTTCCAGTGTCTTTCTCCCCATTTGGAACTGAACCAGATGGATATTTTTTCCAACACAGGCAAGGGTGGGATTCAGCCGATTTGGACCGGTTCGGGCGCACCGGATGCTAATTTTACATCTGGTTCTCTGAACCAGTAGTTGCAAGGACTGAATGGCCCTGCCCACCCCTCCCCTCCCCTCCCAGGAGTCTCCATGTGGCCCATTTTGGATGCCAGTTAAGTGCCGGGCCTGCACGGAGACTTGGGGAGGGCAAAAAATGGGCTCCTCGGAAGTTCTGGAAGTTTGGAAACAGGCTCATTTCTGGCCTCCGGCTGGCCCCCCGGATGGCCATTTCACTCTCCTGGAGGCTCAAGGAAAGCCTCTGGAGCCTGGGGAGGGTGAAAAACAGGCCTCCCAGAAGTTCCATAAGTCCAGAAATGGGCCCATTTCCGGCCTCCGGAGGGTCTCCGGAGACAGTGGAGGCCATTTTCGCCCTCTTGGAGGTTCAAGGAAAGACTCTGGAGCTTGGGGAGGGCAAAAATGCCCCCCACCACCACTGTGGTTCAGGAGGCCAAGCAGGCCACGCCCACCATGGCCACGCCCACCCAAGCGGGCAGAGAACCAGTTGCTAAAATTTTTGAACCCCATCCCTGAACACAGGTGAAATGTAAATATAGTTTGCTCATCTAGGTAAGGTACGCCGTGTGCTAAATAAATAAATACTCCTTCTCCATTTCATTTCATTTTCATTTTATTAAATTTGTATACCGCCCTACTCCCGAAGGACTCAGGGCAGTGAACAGCCATAAAATAAAACATATAAATACAAAATTTAAAATAGAGATAAAACAAATTAAATAAATTTGGCTGAACCATTTTAAAACCCCAATTTAAAACCAAATTTAAAATTCCCATTTAAAACATTGCATTTGAATGCAATGTACTTCCAAAACACACAGGTGAAATACCAGAGCATGAACAAGTTACAAGGGTCAACTTCATAGGTTGTTGGTTTGTTGTTTTAAATCACACAGGGCTTTTTTTTTTTAACTTGACTTCTCCTGGCCCTAATGGTCATGTGAAGCTTGGCCTTCCTGATATGTCTTTGCCCCTCAGATGGCAAATATTGATTTCCAAAAGTTCCAGATGTCAAGGAAGACAGTGCACATCTCAGTCTTCAGAATTAGAGGTCAAATTTCTCCTGCAAATGTCAACTTTAAATGCGTGGCCAACAGAGAGGGACCTTGAGTCAATCCGGGTGAACTCAGGACAGTCCTGCCAGGAAATATGAAGGAAGCCAGAACCTTACAGCTTATCCTTACCATGATAGCTTCCTCGGGCAAAAGCAAAATCCAAACAGTTGGAAGAATTTCAGTGAAACTTACAGGACAAAAAAACCCCACACCCTTTCTCCAAATATATTAATGTATTCATTTAGCTGCTAACTAATTAACTAAATAAGTGGCTAGCTGGCCGGTAGCATTGGAACGAGACAAAACCACAAATAATAAACTTCCAAATGGAAAAACAAACAAACAAACCCAAGGAAATCTGCCTGTAAAGCAGGTATAGGATATGACTTGCGATACTTCTGAAGTGGGAGCGGAGTGGAGCGGAGAGAGAGGGCAGGGGAGAGGGAGCAGAGGGGAGGAAAGGGGAGGGGAGGAAAGGAAAGGAAAGGAAAGGAAATGAAGGGAAGGGAAGGGAAGGGAAGGGAAGGGAAGGGAAGGGAAGGGAAGGGAAGGGAAGGGATGGGATGGGATGGGAAGTGGGAAGGGATGGGAAGGGAAGGGAAAGGAAGGGAAGGGAAGGGAAGGGAAGGGAAGGGAAGGGAAGGGATGGAAAGGAAAGGAAAGGAAAGGAAAGGAAAGGAAAGGAAAGGAAAGGAAGGGAAGGGAAGGGAAAGGAAAGGAAAGAAAAAGAAAGGAAAGGAAAGGAAAGGAAGGGAAGGGAAGGGAAGAGAAGGGAAGGGAAGGGAAGGGAAGAAAGGATTTTGGACAGGAAAACATGTTTCTTTACTTCCAGTTCATTTTACCATAGTATGAGCAAAATGACTTCATTCATTTTCCATAGAGAAGGAAAGAAAAAAAAACTTAGCCGAGAAAAAACTTTGGGGAAACAAAAGTTATTTGTTCAATTAAAAATCACCCTTGCTCCCTCCTTGGTTAGGCATCACTGTTTTACTGTATGTGCCTTGTCGTGAACCATTCAGTCCCCAAGTAAATCTTTCAGCTTTGGACGAACTGCACTAGGAAAGTCACTGGCTCCTCCTGGCAGCAAGAAACTGTCAGAAGAAAATATTGTACTTCCATATTCCATATTTTGCTCATAGAAATATGCTCTGAGATAAGAGTAATATTACTTCTGCATCAAGAATGCAAGAATGTTGAATGCCTATCAGTCGTATTCCTACAAATGTACGATAGGGATCTAAAAAGTCCTGCAAAACTCTATAATCAGATATAGGCAGATGATGCAGTCCATTCTAACAGGTTAAAAAACATTAAACACTGTAATGTGTTTCTATTTTGTAGGCTCAAACATTCAAGATAGAATTTATGCTTTATTCATTTCATTTTTAAACTACAGGTAGACAATGAAGACAATCAGAATCAGAGCTGGGAGGAACCTTGGAGGTCTTCTAGTCCAACCCCCTGCTCAAGTAAGAGAGCCCATACCATTTCAGACAAGTGTCTGTCCAGTATCTTCTTAAAAACCTCCAGTGATGAATCACCCAGAACTTCTGGAGGCAAGCAGTTCCACTGGTTAATTGTCCACACCATCAGGAAGTTTCTCCTTAATTCCAGGTTGCTTTTCTCCTTGATTACTGTATTTTTCAGAGTATAAGACACACCTTTTCCCCCCTAAAAGGGGGTGAAAATTTAGGTGCGTCATATACACCGAATGTAGCCCCGCCCACCCAGTGGCCCCCACCCTTTGGCCTCTGCCTCCTAGAAGTTTACCTCCTTGAAGCAAACAGCAAGAAGTAACAGCTCATTTCAGCTTCAGCACAGCCTAATTAGCACAAGTCGATTAGATCTGCCTCCCGACTCTCAGCTGTTTTGCTCTCAGCAGTTTTGCTGGCCTCTGCTGCTTGCTGCAAGGAAGAAAATTGCTGGAGCAGATTTTTTTTCTTGTGCTAATCAAGCTATGCTAAAAACAAAAATGAAAGTAAAGCAGGCTGTTTGCTGTTTGCTGCAACGAGGCAAAATTGCTGGAAGGCAGAGGCAGATTTCTTTTTCTTGTTTTCCTCACCAAAAAAGATAGGTGCATCTTATAGTCCGGAGCGTTTTATACTCTGATAAATATGGTAGTTTCTGTCCATTGTTTCTTGTTTTGCCTTCTGGTGCTTTGGAGAATAAGTTGACCACCCTATAAAAAAAAATTGGAATGCTTCATGAATTTGCATGTCATCCTTGTGCAGGGCTCATGCTAAAGTTCTTTGTATCATTCCAATTTTAGTATATACGCTAAATTGACTTATGATCACAACTGAACCCCACATTTCTATTGCTAACTGGGACATTTCTTAAGCCAGTGTTGCTCCATTTTACAGTCTTTCGTGCCACATTTGTTCCGCGAATCACTGCCGTTGTTAAGCGACTAATGTGGTTGTTAAGTGAACCTGGCTTCCCCATTGACTTTGCTTGTCAGAAGGTCGCAAAAGCACATCACATGACCCCGGGACAATGCAACCATCATAAATAGGAGTCAATTGCCAAGCAACTGGATTTTGATCACATGACAATTGGGATGCTGCAATGGTTGAAAGCAGGGGTGAAATCTAAAATTTGTTACTACCAGTTCTGTGGGCGTGGCTTGGTGGTGTGGGGGGGGTAATGTGACTGGGTGGGCGTGGCCAATTTTTTTTTTTTAACTTTTAAAACCATTTTTTCTACAACCTCTTCGGTGAAGAGGTTGTAAAAAATGCTTTCAAAAGGCCCTGACGATCCCAGCTGAGTTGGCTGATCGGCAGAGGCTTTTTTTCTTTTAAAAGCCTCTGCCAATCAGGCAACTCAGCTTGGATCATCAGAAGCATTTAAAAGAAAAAAAGCCTCTGCCGATCAGGCAACTCAGCTGGGATTATCAGAGGCTTTTAAAAGCATTTGACGATCCCAGTTGAGCTGTGTGATCAGCAGAGGCTTTTTTTTTAGTTTTAAAAGCATTTTTTCCGCCGAAGAGGTTGTAGAAAAAATACTTAAAAAAAAAAAAAACACTTGTGATTGTGTGGGTTTTCACGGGGGGGGGGCAGGGATTTTTGCTACCGGTTCTCCAAACCACCCGCCTCCATCACTACCAGATCAGGCGATCCGGTCCGAACCGGGAGAATTTCACCCCTGGTTGAAAGTGTGAAAATTGGTCATAAATCACATTTTTCAGGGCCGTTGTAACTTCAAATAGTCACTAAATGAATTATAATTTGAGGATTACCTCTATATGTTGGTGTTTCTTTTAAACAATGTGTTGTGATAAGTAATGCACAACAGTATGTTGTAATTTGTTGTTGTAAGTTGCAAAGTCATGTCTGACCCATCACAACCCTATTGACAATGTTCCTCCAGGCCTTCCTGTCCTCTACCATTCTCTGGAGTCCATTTAAGCTCACGCCGACTGCTTCAGTGACTCTGACTCATATATAGGTTTCTCAAGAGACAAATAAGATGGTCTGGTACTCCCATCTCTTAAAGAACTTGCCAGAATTTGTTGTGATCTACACAATCAAAGGCTTTAGCATGGTCAATGAAGCAGAAGTAGATGTTTTTCTGGAACTCCCTAGCTTTCTCCATGATCCAGTGTAGGTTGGCAATTTGATCTCTAGTTCTTCTGCCTCTTCGAAATCCTGCCTGTACTTCTGGTAATAGGTAATGCAAATAAATAATGGTAATAGGTAATACAAATAAACTATACTCATTCATTCATTCATTCATTCATTCATTCATTCATTCATTCATTCATTCATTCAACTTGTATGGCTGCCCATTTCAAATAAATATTTCTGGACCTTTAACAAAAGATACTTAATTTCCAAATAAGAAAGTACTGACTATCATTTTCCAAATTATAATATAACATTGAAGGTCTCTTTCTGACTTCCCTAGTTGAAATTCCCAGAAATAAAGAGGGGGGGAAATGATAAACTGCATCTCTTTTACCAAAATTAATAAATACTTTAATTGATGAATTTTAATTATCTGGATTTTAATTTTGATTTTAGCTGTACTGATTTTATTCTTATGTTTAGTATTCAGTTTCGTTTTAAATTATTATAAGATGTTTTAAGTTTTTTGGTTTGTTTGTTTTTTAAATTACTACTGGGAGGTCATTACGTTAACAAGCAACTTGTGTACTCTGAAATATTGTCTAGAATCACTCTATTCTAGACACACAATGTGTTCCTCAAGTTGTGCTATCTACTAAAAATGGTGTCAACTCTGAAGCAAATGTCACTGGGGCCATTTTGGAGGGTTGCCACAGTGTGAAGAAGGGATAGGGAGGGGGAACATAGTTAGATAGGGGGTTTGTAGTCAAAACAAAATAGTTTGTTCCTGTGGGACCAAAATAGTTTGGTCCTGTAGGATCCAAGATCATTCCAACAGATGGCTGGAAAGAGGAGGAGCACTGTATCCAGGCAACCAGCCAGCACCTTTGTTGGATGCTTATCCTATGGTTGGGTAGATAATATATAGAAAACTATGTTCTGTAACTTTAACTGCTACAAAGATGACTAATTGGCTGTGCTAAGCAGACATAAAAGAAGGCAGGAAGTTCATTCGCTTCTGCTCCTGCTATTAGAAGGTTGAACTGCTGAAAGGAACTTTGTCTGTGTTACTGAAGAGAACTGGAATTGTAAGCAAACTATGTTTTGTGTTGAACCGTGATTGTTTGAAGAAGTGTTATCTTTGTTTTGAGAAGCCAAGTTTGTTTTTTACTACAAGTAAAGACTGTTTATTTTGCTTTAAATGTTCAGAGTCTGTGAGTATCTGTGTGTTTTGCTAAGCAATGTATCTATTCGCTGTCTGGTCCGTTGCACCACTTTGCAGAGGGCGGTTTTACCCTCAACAACCTTGATTGGACAATGTGACTAATTGTTTGGGGAAAGGGGGACCTATCACTTTTTAATCAGGTGAAAATCGGGGGAACTTTCAGAGTCGGTTTTTCACCAGCTTGTGCCCCTGTGATATCTCCAATAAACTTGTTCTTTGAGGAACTTGCTTGCCTCGGAGTCCTGCTTCCTATGGAGTTATTACCTGACAAATGGCTCAGGAAGGATGAATTTGCAGCGTTCCTCCCTATCACCCCTTCGTCTCTGTGCTTTGAGATATTATCTCAATGAAAGACAAAATGGCATCACACTGAGACAGGAAGGTCTTATACTATAAATCATATTAATCTATGTATTGTATTATTCACAGTATTATGTTGTTCTCAAAAGTGTTGATGTGGGTGTTCTGTACCCATCTCACACACGCACACAAACAGACAGCCAGGGGTTAAATAAAACTGGCAGACAACAAATTCTCTCGATAAGAGGATTGGCAGCAACCCAGTAGCTGCTTGCCAAGAACTTTACTCATAGAGGGAGGGGTTGTTCCTCCGTCAGATAAACCCAAACAAGATACACACAGTTCAAGAATTGTCAAGTCCAGTCCGTATTAAATCCAAGGCAAATAACGTTGTTTCAAAGATACAATGTGACTCGCTAGTAGTTAGTTTTGTCCGTCACAGAGTCTGAATGGCCATCTCACCCCCTTTTATCCCCTGTGGGGTGTGGTCCAGTGGCTGAGCTTAATCTCTGGCACGCCTCCTTTTCTGCTGCGTGCGCTTGTCTCTCCGACGCTGGCGTGGATCCAGCCAAGACTTATCTCCGTCACTGTCCAACTGCGAGGAGATACCTGGCTCCTGGCCAATCTCTTCTCCCTCGGGAGACACCTGAGGCATTGCCAGAGAGGAGGGTCCTGGAGAGGAGGCCTGGCCAACTCCACTCCTTCATGTTCGGAGTCTTCTCCCTCCGATAAATTGGCCTCGGGGGTCGGAGTCACAACAGTGGGAGTAGAAGTTATGTTGCAAACCTCAGGAAAGTATAAGGAACAGAAATAAGGAACTTGTTAAATGTACTGATGAGCTTAATGACCTATGTTCTATATCATTCCTGTAACAAACTTATATTAAGAAACATATTACCAGAAGCGTTCACGGAAAGTAACAGACGGTGTAAGATAGTACCCATGGCCTGGAGGTTGGGAACCCCTGTCCTAGGTAACTAGATTAGATTAGATTAGATTAGCTTTATTGATTAGCCTATAGGGCATATCAAAGTAGAAGGTTGAAACACGTATTGCCAATAAAATCCTGTACAAACAATTTAAAATAATGTAACTAGATAACTGTTGTCCGTTAGTGGAAAAAGTTGGAAGTGTCCAAATGAATGACATAATTTCAGTGAGTCGCTTTGGAATAAACTGCACAAGTTTCTCCTTCTCTCTCTCTCTCTCTCTCACTCCCTCTCTCTCACTCACTCGTTTTCTGTTTCTGTTTCTCTGCATGTGTGTCTTTCTCTCTCCTTCCCTCCCCTCTCTGTCTTTCTCTCTGTGTGTATGTCGTTCTCTCTCTCTCTCTCCCTCCCTCACCCCCTCTCTGTCTTTGTTTGTTTTTGTTTTTTTTTTGTTTTGATTGGATTTATATACCGCCCTACTCCCGAAGGACTCAGGGCGGTGAACAGCCACAGAATAAAACACATAAATACAAAAATTTAAAATAGAATAAAAACGAATTAAATAATTTGGCTGAGACAAATTTAAAATACCCAATAATTTAAAAACAAATTAAAATTTACATTTAAAAGGGGGAAGATTTAGGCCAGGCCAGCTTGATGAAATAAGAAAGTCTTGAGCGCGCGACGAAAGGTGCGCAAATCCGGGATCCTCCGTATCTCTGGGGGGAGCTCGTTCCAGATCGTAGGTGCCCCCACAGAGAAGGCTCTCCCCCTAGGGGCCGCCAGTCGACGTTGTTTGGCCGACGGCACCCGGAGGAGCCCCTCTCTATGAGAGCGTACTGGCCGGTGGGAGGCTATTGGTGGTAGCAGGCGGTCCCGTAGATAACCAGGTCCTAAGCCATGGAGCGCTCTAAAGGTGATAACCAAAACCTTGAAGCGCATCCGCACAAATTCAATTGCATTTGTCTGGTTGTGTGTATCTTTCTTTCTCTCTCTCTCTCTCCCCCCTCTGTGTTTGTGGGTCTCAGTACTCTAAATATAGAGAGAAGTAGCCTTAATAATTAGCATTGTCAACCGTTTGGTATATGATGTAGTCTGAAATAATTCTTAAAAGTTGAATTTTTGAACCCCACTGAACCGTAGCTCACCTAAATTTCACAAGCAGAGTCATACAACTTTTTTCCAATAGTTTTGGGAGGGGGAAGCCCTTTTCATTTGTAGGTTCTTTTAATCGATGAAAGAAATTAATCAGGCACTCAGACTAGGGAA